CTGTGATCGCGGCAAACTGGTGGTTTAAAATATTTTTTTAATCTAAAAAAATGTTTTTCTCAATCCTCTACGGCCCCCTTTTGCTTGCGGCCCTAGGCCGCGGCCTAATCGGCCTAGTGGTAAATCCGGCACTGTTAAAGTCCACGAAGGTGCATAGGACTATTTCCTTAGCAGCCAGAGTGTCCTCAATTCTGCTGACCAGCCCGTGCAGAGCAGTTTCACTGGTCTTGCCTGGCTATTAGGTTTGTTGGTTGCGATGAATGGGTGTGTTTAGAAGTACACCCTTCTTATATGTGCCTCTGAGGAGTAGTGAGGAAAGACTGATGGGGCAGAACGATTTGGCCTCAGAGAAATCTGGTTTTCCCCTAGGGAATGAAGACTACCATGCTGAGACACCAAGATTTAGGAATGTACCCATAAGTCAGATTTGTGGCTTTATGCATTTCATTTTCTTGTAGACAAGATTTAGTCTCCAAAGAATTACCTCAATTGTAACAAATAACCTCTAATGTACTCTAAAAGAAAGATTCAGAGGGTGTACTTACCATGCTTTATATCTGCTGTAATCTCCTCGTTCAATTCTGCACCCCACCGAAAACAAACATAATTTACAAAAAATACTATAAAGATGAAGGAGTAATTCAAATATATTTCCGATTATAAAAACAATTGTTGCCTAGTAACTTAAAAACTATAATAAACTAACTAATCTACATTAATTGGCAAGCATGTTTCTTGGTATTTACTCAGGGGAGGTATAGAAGAGGCTACGATGACAGCTGTGGGCTCCTCATTAGCTGAAGGAACGCCATTACCGTAACAATACGATCTGTCGCCGTCGGCCACGGTGATCTAGTGGTTAGCGCGCCGGGCTGACATGCTGAAGGTCCCGGGTTTGAATCCCGCTGGTAGCATTAACTTTTTGTCCAAGATTTTTTCATTATCAGCAAGTTTGGTTGGTTTGGTTCGGTTATGACAGTTTAATTTTATTATTAAGTCATTATAAAATTTTAATTGAGCAATTTCTAGTTTTATTTAACAAACAGAATTATTTTTTCTATTACTAAACTTTTGTTATATTATTTCATTATCAGCAAGTTTGGTTAGTTCGGTTAGGTTATGATAGTTTAATTTTATAATTAACACATTCACTGCTAATGATATGTAATACTTTTATAAATGGCAATATATCTTTAATTAAATAAATTTTATACTATAAATTGTGGATACTATAAATTGTGGATTAAAATATATTATGTAATTATATACATCATGTATTATATATCTGCTAATATACTTATGACGCACAAGTGCGTCATTAGCAGTGAACGTGTTAAAAAATAATAAAATTGAATTTGAGGCATTTAAAATTTTATTTTATGAACAGAAATATTTTTGCGATTAGTAAACCTTCATTGCCAAAGTGCTCTCTACTACAGCGCTGTTCACGGAGGAATTTTGAACTAATGCCTCAATCGTACCTCCCCTAAGTCAGACCCATGTTTCTTTAAAACCTTTTTTCTCAGCCTGTCTGTATCGCAGGGGAAATCTTTGCATACTGTTAGAAAGATATTTTCCAGTAAATGTGCAGAATCCCTTTATAAATTAAAATATTAAAAATCATCAACTTCTACTATACTCTAAAAGACAGAGACATAGGACGTACTTACGAAACTTAATATCTGCTGTGATCTTTTTGTTCAATCCCGCACTCCACTGCAAACAAACATACCATACATCAGTATCAGTTATGACCAAAAATTATACAACTTTAAAGATTTTGTAATGATTCAAATAAATTTTGCATTTTAAAATCAGCCTTTTTGCTCAAAATCTTAAAATAGATATATCAAAGTATGATATACATTACATTATTTTACACATTATACTTTATGCATTTCTTCTGCTTGTAGGAAAGATTTAGTCTCCAATTCATTTACGCATTACATTAATTGAATCAAAGAACACCTCCACTTGTGCTCTAACACAGTACTGTTTACCAACCTCTGGTACGAGTACCACTAGTTGTAAGCATGGGCAACTATTGTGGTATGTGGTGTAGTTTTAACTACAAGGATTATACACTAGGATTGTTTGTGCTGGTATGTCAGCTCATCGGTAACTGTGTTCAAATACTTTGTTGCCACTAAGTAGGCAAAGTCTAGGGTTTTGGTATAAAGAGGATAATTTATTACGAGAAAAATGAGTGTGTGATGTTATGAGTGGTGATTCGAGACGAATGAAATGCAACAATGAAAATTGACATATGGTAATGCGATGGGAATTACAGATGGACTGTTAAAAAAAAGACATATAAAATTAATACAAAAAACAAAGACACTTGACTGAACCTACATGTTATACAGGCCAGGTCAATAGAGATAAAATACAATTCATAGTACAATGTATATGTACGGTACTGAGTCAAATGTAAATAGGATGAACATGCTTTACTACTAAACTAATATTACTGGTTTTTATACAAAATTATTCAAGATATATTCATAATGATGGCAATAATATTGTTGATAGTCAAGCAAACGTGTTGAGCAAGGGCCTATAAAAAAATAATTAGGGCTTGTTAGTCTTAAGTTGAAATGAAATAATAATAAAGTTGAAATGATATAGATAGCAACTCTTGCTCCCGGTACCATTCTAAGTGATTTACTGAGGTATTCATCATAATTGTGAAAATACAATATTTCTACAATATACTAGGAAAAAGAAAATAGTATCGCACTCTGTAAATGCCTCATTCTACTATTTGCTTTTATAATTTACAAATTTGGTATATATTGGTCAATAAACATGGGATGTCTACTTCAGTGTCCATAAATCGATGTTATTATGTAAAACAATATTTTTGTATTGTACAGTGGTACGTCATAAAAAAGGGTTACTACTCTAATAGAAAGGGACAGAGAGTGGAATAGAGGGTGTACTTACCATACTTTAATATCTACGGTGATCTTCTTATTCAATTCCGCACCCCACCGGAAACAAACAAACCATACATTAGTATCAGATATAACAAACATTATGTGGCTCTAAAGATGAACTTATGATTCAAATTATATTGTCAATTAAAACAGCCTTTTTGCTCATAAAATAGGTATACCAAACTATGATATGGCATACTTTTATGCATTTCTTTTGTTATTATGTCTTATGAAAAGATTAATAGTCTTCAGTTAGACCACTCCTGTAGTAAAACAATCTATTTAGAGCTATACAATATGTACCAAAGAATCTCTACTGTACCTATGAACCTCATATACTAAAACAAAGCTAAGAGAGTGTACTTACCATACTTAATTATAATTTTAGTATCAAATGTAATGAAAAAATGTAACTTTATAGATAAAGTTGTAATTCAAATAAATTTTTCCAGCCTTTTTGCCTAGCAACCTCAAATAGCTCAGTCTGAAATTTGAGTTTTGAGTAAACTCAAAATTATCAAAAAGTAGGGTTGAATCTAAAAAGAAAATACTAAATGTTGAGAAATTAATTTTGAGAACTGCAAAAATACTATTTTAAATACTTTTATTAATTATAAAATGATTTCAGAACACATTAAAAGTCAAAGTCGATAATTTTTTATGGGGCTTTGCCATGTTTTCCGTGCTGCCCTGTCGGTCTGGCGGACACGTCCCGGCTCGCGGGCGTGGGCTGCCGGCCGCTGCGTACGGCTAGATAAGGCCTACCTCCTCTGTTCTCGTTTGTTACGTTACTACACAGCGGCGTGTATGACATTGACATCTGTAAATGGACATAACTAAGAGAAGCTGGTGATCGATCTCAACGTCGATCTCAAAATGTTTTTTATTCCATAGACAATTATCTGGTCTGTGATATTAGTTCCCTATGTTTTAGAACATTAATGTTAATATTAATATATTTAAATATTTAATTGTAATAGCCCCAAAAACCCTGTTACAAGTGGAATTTGCTTGGTCAGACCAATTCAAATGTTTGATCATTATGAGTCCTAAGTTTCTCACTTTGTCGCAGTAGGTAAGATCTTTTCCGTCAAAGCTTTTGTGTTGCAGTGAGTAAGTTTATTTTAGTCATTAATCTGGGGTAGCCAACAATCATTGCTTGAGTTTTGTCAATGTTGAGTTTAAGTCCGTTGTTATATATATATATGTGTTATATATGTGTTTTATATATATATGTCCGTTGTATATATGTGTCCGTTAGCACGATAACTCGAGCAAAAATGATCCGATTTTGATGAAATTTGGTACAAACGTGTAAACCCACATTTATTCGAACGAGTTCGCAAACCAGCATAATCGGACTATGGGAACGGGGTTTTATGGGGTAAAAATAGGTTTTTCCCATTTTTGACCCTAAAACACAAAATTTCACAATTTCTTTCCAAACCATTTTGTAGAGCTTAAAAAAAAATAATTTAGTACGTTGAAGCGCTATTGTGCGCCTAATGGCTACGGAGAAAATTCAAAAAATTGTAAATGAAAAATTCCCACGTTATTCTTATGGAGAATAAGTCAACTGTTGTAGTTTGCTTGTTTATGGACATATTTTGATTGAATTTGTAAAATACATTCATTTCTTACGAAACTATTAACATTTTACAATAAAAACACCTTTTTACCCTCCCTGATGCAGCAAACTTAAGTACTCGTTAAACTAATTCTATTTAAATAGGGAATAAATATGATATTTTTTAGGAGGCATTTTAGTGTAAATCCAATCAGGCAAATGAAAATTTGCTTAGTCTGCAGGTTTGCTGCGGCGGGGGTATTTTAGACACTATAAAGTTTTATGTTTCTTGTGTTACAGTGGACTGTGTACTCTTTCTCATTTTTGTAAACCTGCTGTCCTTAGCAAATCCCTAAAATCATCCCACTTATATATTTCATATTTAACTTACGTTATAATATGCACTGTTGTGAAAATTGACATGGTTCTAAACAAAATTTGGATTGGACTACACAAATTTGTCTAACCTCTAACATCACTTTTGTTGTTTGCAGGTATTCAAGCAGCCTGTAGACATGCCAGATGTGGGGGTGAAGCTCTCGCCAGACCTCACGTTGGATACAAGGGAAGGGGGTGGAGGGGGAGACTGGTCGGAAGCCAATGGCGTGTTGTCACTCGCGCGGCGAGAACCAGAGGGCAAGGACAGTGACTCACGACTCAACAGTGAAGACGGCAAAGGCTCCCCTCTCGGTGAGTTCTTGTTGGTGATTTAGTAATCGGTTGTTTTCAAGTCACTATTACCCAAGTGACACAGGTAGAATAGCAAAAATACACGAAACACACCCAAAAAGTAATCTTATTGAATCATCAAAGTTCAAAAATTTTAAAAAGTTATAAATAGGGTACTTCAAATAATAAAAATGGGCTAAAATTAGACTATTAGAAATTACTTAAATAAATAAAACCGTATTAAATCATTTACAAAGGGATTTTGTTATAAATCGACCTTAAAAAATGCCTCTAAAGTACAGTGAGTTTTTTTAGAAAGTAACTCTTTAATTTAAACAATTTGTTATTTGTTGGAAAGATTTTACATTTAAAGGGATTTTGTTATAAAACCAAATAACAATAAAGTTATTTGATATTTTCTAAGTAAGCTTAAGAACTGGATAATTCAGCACATTTACATTGTGTGTGTTGTTTGAATGGGTGACTCTAAATTCATTTAAACAGGGTAATATTGAAAGTGGATTAAGTTGGAGATTGGATTGATAAAGTAAAAATGCTTTATTAGTTTGTAAACATTTTTTACCGTACCATTCATTCTCATTTATTTCCATTTTTAGAACTCCCGACGGAAGCTAGTTACACTACCGAAGGCAACGGGAAAATCAACATTCACGTCTCAGTGACAATAAATGCAGGCACTCTTGCTGAACTGAAGAAACAACGGGCACAAAACCGTAACTCCAGTCCCGACATATCCGTGATACAGGCTCAGACGTCGGCTAGATCGTCCGTCACTGGATCGGAGATGGAGAATCCTTCTGTGAAGAGGTTCGCGGGAAACACCGGAGATAATGTGATTGGCGACACTAAGGTTCGGAGGTGTTGTATACTGTCGTAAGTTTCTTTTAAATGCATAGCACAGAGGTGAGCGAGTCAGCAGGGTGTCTACCAGTCACTAATGTCATGGAAAAGTCCTTTTTTACTTAAAAATTACTGAAAATTAATTATGATCTTATGATTTTAAAATATCATGTTGCCACAGATTTTAATTTCTTCTTCTGTTCTTTTATAAATTATGCATTCATCCAAAACAAAAATAAACTGTACAATCCATGTAACTTCATATCTTAATTAGTAATCAATTCACGGTTTCTGCAATTCAAAGAATTTTTTCTAGTATAAAGGATAAATTATGTGTACAGTAAAAAACTCGTCTACCCAAATAAAGGGGGCCAAGCCATTTAGAGGGTTTTTTCAGTTGGAGGCTATGCCTATTAAAAAAAAAATCTAAATCAGTAGTTTTCTATGTTATTTTAATTCTCGTCATCTTAAAATCTACAACTATATAGCCTACACAAAATCTATTTCTCAAAGTAATGGTCAGTTGTTTTCTGAACTTAATCTAGATATCACACTATGAGATCCATGTTGTCATTTAAATACGACATACATCACATTCTTACATTGCTTCATTACATTCCATTGGCCAAGCCAGATCAACTATTCGAACCACTGAGAATGGTTCCGGTTGGCCGTTGATTTTTATATTGACTTGTATTTTTTATGATGGTTTTGGTAAACCCAGCTTTCGGTTTAATGAGGTGTGGCTAAAAGGGATTTTACTGTATTATGGATAATTCTTTACCGATTACGGCAATAGGTTACTAAAGTCACAAATTTCCTTCAAAGAGAACTGGTTGAAACCCTGTATTGTTTTGCATATAAAATCAAATCCTATAAATTGGTTTTTTTGTGTGCAGAACTGCAGATGGGTGCTAGAGGCAAGTAGTAAAACATTTACAAAGGATTCTCAGGATTTGATTTTTAGACAGATAAACTATAGCAAACACTCTTTGAAAATTAGTTTTGTCCCTCAAATTATAATTTATGATTTCAAATATTTTTTTCCAAAAATTGTTGCTCCAATATTAAACCTTATTTAACAACTGCACTGTGTGAAACATTGGATTAAGCTCTCGGACGACTTACTTTTCAACAAATTAGTACTTTTGCCATATTTTCATTCCTTGTGTAAGTATACAATCTTGTTGGTTAGTTTTTTTCAAATTTTGCCGTCTTGTAATATATCCTACTTTAGTATACCCATACCCAGCTGTTTTTTTTTCAAAATCAAACTTGTAAGAGGACTCCCAACGGAATTTTTTTTTCAGATTAAGTTGGTTGATTCAGCTCTCAACTTTTTAACCACAACTTGTCTCGATTGTGTTTTTACTCGCTCACACCTGTGTTTCATCATAGTTCATAACTTACTAATCCTTGAATGTGTTTAACATAGTCTGGTTAGAATAGTGTATTTTCTTATTGGTGTAATTAACATAAGCACGATACATTTCCATTTCAACATGTGATATTTTTAGAGCATTGCTCAAACTGTCCATTTGCAAGTAAGTTTTGTAATTTTTAATTGTTAATTCCTTATATTTGTTTAGTTTTAAGATGTATGTAAAATATAGATTTTGTATTTGTTATCATTATATTTTATAGAATTAATCCTTCCGAAATGTGAATAGTCAGTATTATACTTGTCTGATTTCTTTTAACGATATTTAATTTATTTGTAAAATGTTGGTTTAATATATTTTGTCTTGGTAAATAATGAATGGCATAACCAACTAAAAATTAATTCATTTGAAGTATAATGAGAGGTTGTATCTTAACATTATTCAATCAACGTAACTTGTCTCACTCTCTCAAGTTTTGTTCAATCAATTTTTATCTAATATCATACTGTACAAGAAAGTCAAAATTCTATTTTTTCATACATATCTAATAGAATTAGTCAATTGAGATTGTATTATTTCATTTTGGTTTATTTATTAGCGAATTTCCCATATAGGGAATAAGCTATTACCGTAGTACTCATGGTAAGACCTGGACGCGGGACCGATTTTTTTTTTCGTTTTGAGGTCCCTAGAGGCCAAAAACACCATCCGTTCAAATTCATATATATATATATATCTAATATATAAAATTCTCGTGTCACAGTGTTTGTCTGCAAACTCCTCCGGAACGACTTCACCGATCGTTATGAAATTTGGTGTGTAAATTCTGTAGGTATGCGAATCGGACGTAAACTATTTCCCGTTTCAAAATTCTTAAAAGGGCTCCGCCCCAGTGGCTCTGGAGTTTCCCATGTTAACCTTATGAGAAATGGAATTAATGAATCTTAACAGCTGTTTCAATTAAACAAGTTGGTTCTGTTCTATGATGTTCAATAGCATTAAAGTTACAAGGATTACCAACAGGGTGCAGCACTATTATTTCTTTGCAACCAAAAGGTGAGTGAGCGTAGCGAACGAACTTCAACCTGGAGGCGAGTGAGCGTAGCGAACGAGCTAACCTGAAGGCAAGTGAGTGCAGCGAACGAGCTTCAACCTAAAGGTGAGTGAGCGTAGCGAACGAGCTCCAACCCAAAGGTGAGTGAGCGTAGCGAACGAACTTCAACCAGGACGTGATTGAGCGATGCGAACGAGATCATCTTGAAAATTAAACGTAACGGTACTTTCTTTCCATCGGTCTGTCTTAGGGGAAACCTATAACTTAGGCGATACAAAGTTCGCCGGGTCAGCTAGTTTATATATATATATATATATATATATATATATGTGTCCGTCAGCACGATAACTCAAGCAAAAATGATCCGATTTTGATGAAATTTGGTACAAACGTGTAAACCTACGTTTATTCGAACGAGTTCGCGATCCAGCATGATCGGACCATGGGAACGGGTGTTTACAAGGGGTTTTATGGGGTAAAAATAGGTTTTTCCCATTTTTTACCCAAAAAACTTAAAATTTTGCAATTTATTTCCAAACCATTTTGTAGAGCTTAAAAAAACAAATAATTTAGTATATTGAAGCGTTATTATGCGCCTAACGGTTACGGAGAAAATTCAAAAAATTGTAAATTGAAAATTCCCATGTTATTCTTATGGAGAATAAGTAAACTGTTGTAGTTTGCTTGTTTATGAACATATTTTGATCAAATTTGGAAAATTTTTTTATTTCTTACTAACTATTAACATTTTCCAAAAAAAAACAATTTTACCCTCCCTGATGCAGCAAACCTAAGTACTTGTTAAACTAATTCTATTTAAATTGAGAATAAATGTTATATTTTTAAGTAGACATTTCAGTGTAAATCCAATCAGTCAAATGGAAATTCGCTTAGTCTGCAGGTTTGCTGCGGCGGGGGTATATTTCATAAATATCCTGTATAAAATCGATGAATAGTGTTACTGTTGCATTAAGGAAAATGGGAAAATAGTGCAGAAAGTAATAATCATAATTTGCATGACAAACCCTCCCACAAAATCTTATGTAAGCTTAAGATGACAGAAACAGGAAATCTAAAAGTTTCTTTACAATGTATAATCTCATTGAGTTTGTTTTATGTAAAATTCACAGATTTTTTATTTTATTTTAGGGAGTTCTGACACAAATTTTAATACATCCAGTTCTTTCTTGGTCTGACTGTATTTCAGGGTGTAAGAATAACTATCCCATTATATATTATGTGATCCTTGACATATCCATTCCTTCAGCCCAACCATTCTTTTTTTATATTATTATTGATTTATTAATCTTGATTATATGTACATGAATAAAAAATAACATCAAAATTATCTATAAAGCCAAAAGTGCCCATGAACTTTTGAGAAAACTACAAGTCACACCCCCATAAACCATATACTTAAAATGTTCGTCATGACAAGAAACCTTGCGCAAAACTATCCATTATTTCATAAATTGCCCTTTAAGGTCGTAAGTCCTTTCTAAAGGAAACTTTCCACCTAATGTTAAAAATACCTCAGCTGTACTTATTTGTTTGTATTACTGTATCCTGTTTTGTTTATTTCAGCTTAACTTAACCAATCAATAATTTTATTAATACAGTACTTATGAGGTCAAACGGGGTGAAGCCCGTGGGTGACAGCTAGTATTGATATAAAGTCACCTTACGGAAAGGTATATTTCCACAAGTCTACCTATATGTATAGGTTGGTGTTTTTAATTCTTTTTCAAGCCCATGAAAAATATAATTAGGTTGGAAAATGCACATATCTCTGACACAATTCACCAAATGTGTTGACAACTTAACTAATAGTATTGTTTAGGACTGTGACTAATTTAGACACTTATTTCAGTATTAAGAAAAATGTAATTTGACGTGTATACTTCAAATATTAATATTTCAACAGTTAAAATTTATCGAAACTGACCTAACTGAAAACTGCAATAAAATTAAGTGCTTGATTTTAACTTTTTTCATTTTTTTTATGAATTGTAAATATTAATCCATATCAATTTGTGTGTCAATAACTTCAGGAATGTTTCCTACTGCATGTTTTAGTTCAGATGAAGAGTTTCTAGTTGTATAAATAGATACACTATTAAAGAGTTGTTAGAAGGTACATCAATTCCAACTTTTTACTTATTTGTCTAATTGGTTTTGTTAGGCTAGAATAAAAAAACATTTTTCAATGATTGATAATCTTAAGAGATTATCTTTTAATGATCTTAAAATTAATTAATCGATAATATTAATGGCTTGAATAAAATTAGAAAATCTACCACGTCAGACCACTTTGAAGAGAAATGTTTTAATACATCACTAATACCTCTCACAATTTTCCAGAGAAGTTTTAATGAAGCATTACGGCTTGAGGTCATCGTAAATTTTCCTGTTTGGGTTTTAATTAGAGACATGTCAAATTTGTTTAGTTGAGACATTGAAACATCTTATTTTTTATGAATTGGTCTCTTATAAAAATCAATCCGTCCTCTGAAATGTTATTATTTATCTATAAATAATTGATTATGTTAACTAGTAGCTACTATTTTGAAATAATATAAAATAAATTTAAAAAATATAAATATTTATTTTATTACATGTATTTATATGTTGTTCTAGGTATTCAATCAAAATGTAAACCATCGACACACGTCTTCCTAAGTAACTTTATTGTTATTATTATTTAAGTGCCATTTTTTGTAAATTTGTTTTAAAAATTAATATTTTATTTTAATATAAATTATATAATTAAAATCTATTACAAGATTGGTCCTAGTAGAGTCATATCTTGTCATATCACCTTCGTAAACTTTCTTTATATAAATCTATGATTTATTTATGAACTATAACAAAAATGTGCATTTATATCCTTTTTTAGGTGAATTACTAAGCTCATAATTTCCCTCATTTAAAATTAACTGTCATATAACTCTAGTTTATAACAAAACCTTTAACAAATATTATTTTTGATGGATAAGTTTATTTTTTATGAAATTTAGACTGATTACTGTATTTTCTGTAGTTATTGCATTGGTAATAAGTTAAGTTATGTTGAGTTCATGTTAAAAGGTGAAGGGTATTATTTTTTTGTATCTGTAGAAAACGGTTTATTTCAATGTTCTGATGTTTTTACATTTCGTGCCAAAATGTTAAGTTTCTTCTTGTACTTAACTTCAGGAATTACTCCACCTTACTCTTTTCTCATTGTTCATTTTTTTTATACTGCAATGAAAAACAAGTTAATGGAATGTGATTATGAAGAATGTGCCTTTGACTTGAGGGTTGTTCGTTTGCAAAATAGCAGATTGAATTTTAAAATAGTTGTTGAATTTTAAACCTTTAGAACTTCCAACTGGATGTTAATAATTTCCTAGATTATATTTCTTCCATTAAAAACCCAATCAAAAATCACTTGCTAAGTTGAACGATTGTTTAAAACACTTTTTACTTATTTATTAATACAATTTTAGTTACATGTTTAGTTTGTAATAGATTTCCTGAAAATGTAAATGAGTCAGAAACAGCTATCTATACTTATAAAAGTCTTATTAGTTATATTAACAAGAAACCCATTTTTCACTAGTTGAAATAATCATGACAAAAGAATTCCAATATTTTAATGAGACTTGCAGTTCAATTTGCACAAATTAGTTTAATTTTAATTTTTTTGTTGATATATCTAAAATAACATACTAAACGTCCACATAGGCCTAAGCTAAACCTGTTAAGGAGATGTAATAAATATTTTTATAATTCTGTACCTACCTAACTTTTAAAGTTATAAAACAATTAGTTACGTTTATAACTTTTAAAACAGATCACTATGTTCATGTTTAGTTTCTGTTTTGAATACCATGTGTTCAATTTATTGTACTTAATAAAAGTTATATTTGTAAAAGATGAGCAAATTGTTGTTTTTGGGAAAACCCTGTATGCAAATGCTTGACTGAATTTAATTTGTGTTTGTGGTACAATCCAGGATCAGGAGATAGAGAGTTCTCTACTTAAAGCCACATTTGCAGGAATGCCACCATCGTAGGATAAGCATAACATTTTTGCCATCCTTTATGATCAAATGGGTGCAAACACTTAATGCTTCAGAACTTTGACAACTCATCTTTACATTACTATTTTACTATATTTAAAACTAGCAGAGTACCCGTCCTTCGTATGGGGTTGGCGTATAAGTAAAAAATGCAGTTATACTCGTGCTTTGCATTTACAATGGGAGAGAACATGGTTTAAGAAAATTTGGTTCTTTTAATTTACGGTATAGCTCATCTACCATAGCCATAATGCTCTATCACTGCACCCATTCGAAACAATAGAAAAAGTAAAGTTCTCACACATTTTTGTTGCTGCTTGGTTCAAATTAGCTGTTGTCATAAATGCAAAAGACTTATAGTGCTGCACCATGTTGGTAAACCTTATAACTTTTCAATGCTATTGAATATCATAGAATCAACTTGTGTAGTTGAATCAGCTGACAAAATTCTTCAATTACTGTATTCCTTTTAAATATGAATACTTGTAAGGTTAACATGGGAAACTCGAGAGTCATTGGGGCAGAGCCCGAAAGGGTTTTTGAGATAAGAATAATGTCTATATGTTAATCAAGAATGTGAGCTATCATACCAAATTTCAACCCAATCCGACCAGTAGTTAATGCGTGATTGAACTTTAAACAAACAAACACACAAACTTTCACATTTATAATATTAGTGTGATGTAATATCTATATATTAATACGCAAGCAGTTTTCTTTTCACAGTCATAACTTGATAACGGATTTTAACATTTGAGGTGTCAAATTAAAGGTATTTTTGCGTAGATGTGCAAATACGTCTCAGAATATTTAGAAAGGGCACCACTTAAGGGCTAAAGTTTGGAAGGTGGCGCTATCTGTTGACATTTGATCAAACTCATTTCCCTTTGTTTACAAATAACATATGGACGTAGTTTGAAATCTATTTATATTTTGTTACAATCTGTTAACTAAGTCTGGTTCATAATGAAGAGTTTCCTATCAATACTAGACAACAAAGTGTTTAAGAATAAATATTTAATTCTTTTTGTCTATGGTTAAATTGATTTACCTTACATCCTATTTTAAAACGTTTTTATTAGCTCGCTTTCTTGTCCGGTACAAATTTTGCAATCAATTTTATACTAACTTCCCGATGAGCATTCTGTTTAAGACTTGAAACTTGAAACATAGCTCACAAATGGATGACAATGCAATATTATATAGTTTAATTTTCATATTTCCCTTGGGCTACGCCCCATGGGCTTGTTTTTATTAACTCGCTTTCTTGCAAATTTTGATACTTCCCGATGAGCTAGAGACTTGAAACTTGAAACATAGCTCACAAATGTATGACAATGCAATATTATTTAATTTAATTTACATATTTCCCTTGGGCTACGCCCCATGGGCTTGTTTTTATTAGCTCGCTTTCCGCTTTCCTATAAATTTTGATATCAATTTCAAACGAAGTTCCCGATGAGCTAGATACTTGAAATTTGAAACATAGCTCACAAATGGATGACAATGCAATATTATATAATTTATTTTTCATATTTCCCTTGTAGTCTAGGAGCTAGGCCAAGTCCCGTGTGCACTTTAATGTGCCCTCAGTTTTGTTGCGGAGCTTTGATTAACACCTTTGGGAGCTTAAAAAAATACTGGTCACGTGGTCCAAATCATGGTCGTTTGGCCGCCATATTGGAAAATGGCCGCCAAAACGCTAGATTATTTGCTAATACGTATCTCCGCACCCAGTGGTCCGATTTTAATTTTCTAAAGCTCATTTTACTCCTTATGTGATTGCAAACAATTTTTGTATTTACACTTTTTTGCTAAACCCATTATTTATTGAGATAAATTAACATTTATAATATTTCCAGTAACGTTGTGGAAATAATTGTTGGTTAATGCGTCCATTCGTTCCAAAAGCTTAAAACTATCAATTAAAAATATATTAAAAGACTTAAACGTGTGTTTAAAATATATATTTACTATTAACTTACATAGAGACATTACTATTTACCTACTGATAAAAGTTATATAGAGACATAGTCTTCCAAAACTTAGGGTTTCAAATCTTATCAAGAATAAGAATTGCAAAATTATGTATGAGGGTTCTTGCAATTGTCTGAAACACTACTCTTACATTTACAAAAGTCACAGCACATTACTTTCAATCTTCTACAGGGACATACAGTTTCTCTGAAACACGTCTGGCAATTACATGGCTTAGGGAAATCTTCAGGGAACGTTGGATCATCTGTCACTTGTGGAATCAGAGAATCACCTTCCTCTACATAACCATAGTCCAAGGGATTAAGTTTCTCAAGTAGGTTCCAAAGTAGGCTCTTCTTCAACTATCCCGTTTTCAATAGCAAAACATCTTGGCTGACCATCTTTTACTACACCACCGAGATAAATGATAGAAGACGCAGTGAATGAATCCTCTTTCCGGGATAAAGTAAGCTTGCAACAATTCTTTGTTTTTAGATGAGGCCCAGAAAGCGTCAGTATCCACAGGAAGTGGCGTGTTGTCATTTGGGGCTCCATATTCTACAGGTTGTTTCCTTGATCGCTTGGACCTCTCAAACCCTTTAACACTTTTTTCATTATAAACGTCGAAAACAATATCGATGCGTTCACTTTTGTAAGATGCTTGGGATATAGCTATCCAAATGCTTCGTACCAATTCTTCATATGTCTTCAGTTTTAAAGATTTAGTTGGTACCTTCCTTGCAAATGCCATAAAATCTATAACTGTTGCTTTGCCAGGTGATATAGGAGTTTCGGAATTTGGCGGTGTTTGTAACTTTTTTTCAAGTTCATGAACCAGCTGCGATTTATCTGATTTTGTCAGAAATCCATTTCTGGTCAAAAACAAAGATGTAGAAGTTAATTCATAGGAAAAAATATGATTTATGTCATATCCTCGACACCGTGAAATGTCAATTAAACGCAGAGCATGGGCGGTTTCATTCTTTACGTCCACTTCTAACGGATTATGGGGTTTACTACTCTTTTTTTTAGTCTCTTAATTGGTTGCATTAGACTGAGTGACTTATCTTCAAATCGTTCACTCCGAAACTGAGTGTTGGCTGTTTCTCCTACTTGTATGCAGTCTAAAAGATCAGTGCTCATTCCACGATCTATCTTTTGTTTAGTAATAACATTTTGTAGTTCTGTTCCACAGCTAGAGCTTGTATGAATGAACGGATTTCCTTGCTTCTTCATGAAAGTCACAATTATTCTTCTAACGCATAGCTCATCAGCAGTTGTAGTGTTGTTTGAAAATTGGTGGTGCAGAGTGTATTCATCTTCATAGGCAAGGCCACATAAATCACGCAAAACTTTTACTATTTGGACTTTCTCGTGTTTGATTAGATCATGAAGCAACACAGCTTCTTTTCTTCTTGTTACTCCGATGATTCCTCCTTGGCCTTTAGCTGGTTTGTTGTAATTTTGTTCCAGTGCTTGATCCATAGCCACACAACTGAACTTTCGCTGAGTATTTTTCACAACAAAATTTCCGGCTTTGAAATCCGCATAGATATCAGGGAAATCCAGAGGAAGACGTAAGCAGTCCTCTAAAAAAACACTTGCCCACCGAGAATAGTTTGTCTTGTCAAATGCAAAGAAGAGTGGTATTGACCGCATTAAGGCACTAATATTTAGATCCCAATTCCCTTCTCTCTGTGCGCGTGTAAGATCTCGTAATATAGGAAAAAGATGTGTCAAGAATTGGTACCAATACCGAAACGTCTCATTTTCTCTACCTTTTTCTATAGCAAATTTTTCTATTTCTTCCATAATATTTGAAATTTGCTGTTTGAGAGTCTTGACTTGAGTGTTTGTACGTGTCGAATCTTTAATCTTGATGCACTCTGTTAAATCCTTAAGTTCTTTGGCTGTGGTTTCTGAAAAATTGTTACTTTCCATGAATTTTTCAAGTAATAAACGTTGCAAAGCTTCAGCTAGCATGGAAAATCCTCTTATAGCACGAGAAGAATGTTTCCCAGTAAGCACATTCTCGACAATGTTTGGTCCAAACGTTTCAGTTTCAACAAAAATATTTTTTACTCCACTTTCTGCTAAATATTTCCCAAAACAAGCCATAACGTCTTTAGGAAGATGAAAAGCTCCTAAGCCAAGAAAAATATTAGAAAACTCTTCTGGTCGCAGCAGTTGTATTTCTTTGGCTATTCTGTACACTCCCTCATCAGACCAAAGGGATCCTGACTTTTGATTTACTGTTGTCAGACAGTCTTGAAAGTTTTTCATGCACGTATATATTGAACTAAATTCGGTCGCAGGGTGTGGCAATATAGGGGTAAAAGCAGTTTTAGTCTGTGGGATATGTTCACTCGATATCATACTGTTGAATGCACTCCAGGTAGGTATCTTACATTCATTAGGGTCACTTTCTCTGCTTGCGAAATATCTGCACAAACTCCAGATCATATCTTGTTCTTTAGCTGATGAAGCAGGCAGGATAAGGTTAGGTTTAGGTGCTACCGTAAACGTCTCACTGATTTCTCCTCTTTGCACTGGTTTCTTAAAATATTTAAGCTCTTGACATGGCAGGAGACTGTGAAAAGATCGCATTCCTTTGTTGACTAGTCCTATGCTTTGGTTTACTTCGGGGGTATCTTCAACATTGTTACTTTCATTTTGAAATATTACCAGTACTGTGTCATGACTGCCTCCAATACCAGAAGGGGTTTGCTCTAGGTGATCAAAATTATCCATTGCTGCTCTTATTGGTACGTTTGGCTTAATTTCTTTGGGAAGGGGTACTCCTGTGCCCTTAGAGCTACTTAAAATTCTTGTTGCGAGTACCACGTTATGTCTCTCTAACGCATCATAACTAACA